GCTAGCTGCTCCCACCCGCTCCCTGTCTTTATGCTAAGCTAAGCTAACTGTCTGTGGAATAGTTCCTTACAGTCTGTGTTTCTGTGGCGCTGTGCTGCATGTGGGGCTTATTTAGCCGTCAGCTGCTGCCTCCTGCTCCAGGGAGGTTTTCATGAACACATCTCTCCTCTCAGGCAACGACGCAGCAGACGTCCAGTGTCTGAACCTGGCCGGTGTGAGCGCCGTACCTGCTGACGCGCCGGTCGTCGCCATCAACGCTGCCAAGTACACCTGCCACCGGCTGGGAGGCCTGGGCGCCGTCAGGGAGTTCTCCGAACACATCCTGCTGCAGAAACAGAAGGCCAAGTCTCAGATGAAGCAGGACCGCATCGACCGCAGCAGCTTCTAGCCGCAGCCTGGAGGGTGAGTCCACCAACCAAACGTGCACCTGAACCAGAAACAGCAGCTGAGGAGGCTGGAGAGGTGGTTACATCTGGCCTTCAGGTTGTGAGATTCAGAAGGAATTCAGGCAAAACTGTGATGTTACGACAGAATTAGAAGCTAAAAACCTGGTTGTTGAAGAGAACCAAGTACAGATCCAAACCACCGAACCAGACGTGAAGCTGTCACCTCCTTAAACGTCCTGAAACTAAAGAGAAACCACAGCAGGAAGCTCCAACATCAGGAAAGTCACACACAAGTACAAGAACACGGGACCTAAAGTTCTCATCAGGCTACAGAGAGAAGCTGTTTGGCAGCGTCTGAGTGGAGGATGGTTCAGATCCATAAACCACAGCAGTGAATGATTAACCCACAGGGTGCTCTGATGGTTCAATATCCAACCAGGAGCTGTAAACCAGCTTCCTCCTCAACACGTTCAGTCCCAGCTGAGATCAGAGCAGCTTCAGTTCACATTTCAGCCTCTGCAGCAGCTCACAGTAGTGACCTCTGTTGATCTGCACACTGTCTGACCTTCAGCACATTCGTCATGAAGCTACAGATTCAGCTCTTAACCCTTCACTGTCCGACTGTTTGAAGTGGATCTTCCTCTCTGTTCTGTGTTCTGTTCTGGGTCAGGGCGGTGAGGAGGACGCTGCTGGCTGGAGTCACACCAGGGATTCTCCAGGTGAAGCGTTTTTTAACCAAAGTGTAATAAAGGCCTGTGAAGGCGTCCGTCTCCACCAGGACCACATGGCAGCAGGAATGACCAGAACCATGTTGACTCAAGTTATGCAGAACAGTTCCTGCTTGCTCCCCTGGTGCTCGTTTAATATTGATTGACTTTATTACTGAGCAGATTCAATGCTAGGCTGGTTAGCTTAGCTTAGCATGAGGAAACGTTGCAGAGCTGATTCACAGCTTTGTGTGGAACAAACAGCCGCCGTGTGACTCAGTGAGGGCTGAATGTCCACGTCTACACCAGTTTACCCTTAATAATGAGCATCGCTGCTCCTGGGCCACGAGTCACACATCAGGAACCGTTGACAGGTGATGCTGATGTTTTCTGGTCACAGCTGTGGGGACAGTAGATTTATGTTAACTTATGAATGTAAAACACGTCTCTAACTTGTCGTCTTTGCACCAGAATAAATGATGGTTCATGTCTCCACAGTGTTGTTGCTCCATCACTTTCAGGAGTGTTTCCAAATCAGAGCTCCATCTCTGGCAGAACATCACACTTCCTGTTTCCTCCACAGCGTTCGGCCCCTCCCTCTGTGCTAGCTGCTCCCCTTGCTGTCTGGTCTTTATGCTAAGCTAAGCTAACCATCCCAGCCCCTCACAGTAGCCGCGGTTGTTTATTTCAGCTGCGTATCGGTTGCATCTAATNTCCTCCTCCTCCTCTCCCTCCTCCTCCTCCTCATAGCCGGTGAGTTGACGAAGGCGCTGAACCTGGACCCGGCGACCCGGCCTCGGCGCCAGGACTGGGACGGAGAGCTGTGTGAGAACGGGTCCTTCTACTTCACCAGCAGGGAGCTGGTGATGGAGGGGATTCTGCAGGTAACCGAGCAGCGCCGTCCAGGAGGCTCAGCGTCCTCCACAGACTACCGGTGGTCTCATTGTGTCCTCTGTGCAGGGAGGCAGAGTGTCCTACTACGAGATGCTGCCGCAGTACAGCGTGGACATCGACGTGGACATCGACTGGCCGGTGGCCGAGCAGAGAGTCCTCAGGTCAGAACTCAGCAGGTCCAGTCACACGTTCTGCTCATGTTTCACCAGAACAGACTCCAGTAGTTTATTCCCTGGTCCTTCTCATGGTCAGAGTTGTACTTTTCTGGGTCTGTCTGTCTCAGGTTTGGTTTATTTGATACCTAAATATGTAAAACCAGAACCTTGTCTGGTCCAACTTCACCACATCAGGTTCTGCTGATGTTAGAACCTCAACAGTTGGAGAAATGTGACCAGAGACTGGGTTCTAGTAGAACCATGGATCCATCCATAGACAGACACTGACAGGAACTTTGTTATTTTTTTGTTAACAAGTTTGGGCTCAGTTCAGTGGTTCTGCTGGAAACTATTCAGTTTGTGGGAGTTTTATTTCTGGAGATACTGGACCATGAAAATAGCTTCACAGGTTTTGTCTGATGGTACAAATACAGAACATCCCAGGTCTGAAGACATGAAGTTCTGGTCCAGGTATTTCAGAGGACAAACAACTAATACGCAGTCTTCCTCCTCCAGGTACGGGTACTTTGGTCGGGACACTCCGGAGGTGGTGCGCCTGATGTTCTGTAACGTTTCTGGATGTCTGACTGAGGGGCGGATCTTCCTGTCCGTGTCTGGAGAAGACATGGTGTCCATCAGCACCAAAGACATGGCGGGCATCCGGATGCTGCAGAGAGAAGACGTGGAGGTGTTTATCCTTCTAACTCTGAGCTGAGCGGCAGCATGACCCACTCACACTCACCTGACGTCTGTCCTGCCTCACCAGGTGGTTCTGCTGACCTCCAGCGACGACCCGGTGACCCATTCGCTGGCTGACAAGCTGACCAAGACGACGGGCTGCCAGGTGATGCAGGTGGGGGCGGAGCCACTGAACGACCTGCAGCCGATCCTGAAGCAGAAGAACCTGGAATGGAAGGATGTGGCGTACTTGGGTAAATCAGCAGGGACAGAAATGTTCAGGGTCAGTCCACAAACAGCCCACCAGAACCTCCTCAGTCCACTGGTTCTGTCTCTGCAGCAACTTTAGTGAGTTTAATGAAG